CAGGGACAAAACTCTCCTGAAGGAGAAGAGGAAGCGGCGCGAGGAGCTGTTCGTCGAGCAGAAGGTCGGTCGAGTGCTTGGGGGCGGGGTCTCCTTTCTTAGACCGCTCGGCCCCGGGTGGAGTTCGCACGTGTGGCGCCGCGTGGACTGGGGGTAATTGGGGTGGGGGGGTCCGAAGAGACACGCGAACCCGTGCCTGGTTTTTTTTAAAAATTGTTTGTGTGCCTGTTCTTCGCCCACGGGCGCGGAGCGTTGTGGGTTTTCCACCTTAGTGAGAGGCCCAGCTCCGACCCTCGGAACACCTTTATTATCTCCCCAAGGAGCTTCGTCTGGAGCTAGGTTATTGTGGGGATTCACGCGAGGTGCGCTGTAAACGAAGGCAATACAAACGGGTCTCTGGTACTTGGTAGACTGGCCACCGAAACTTTGCCCACGAGGACTGCTTTCGGTTTAATGAACCCTTGACCCGAGGGTGGGATGCAGTGGGCCCCCGCAGTCCCCGAGATCCCCAAGCCTGCCTTCCAGAAGCCCCGGGCATCGGACATTCTAAGAGATACTAGCGTCTGTTCATTTACTTGCCAAGCTGTTGGGCTCACACCCGTGTGATTTCAGAAACAATTGCCCTGTATTACTTTCGCTGATTTTTAAATGTCTTCTTAGAAAAGAAAACTCCTTCCAGACGATATTCTAGAGAAGTTAACTACAACTTCTCCAGCTGTGTAAGTACTGGGTCCTTCTTAGCTCACGCACACCATCTTTGGAAGAGTGGAATTCCACACGGGTTCAAACATATTTGGATTCTTGGAAGGGAAGAAATTGCAGAGCCTGAGTTTGTGAATGTTGGAATTTGGTGGGAAGTATTCCATTTTGTTTTTGTTCATTCCCACGGGCAACTCCAGTTTCCCAGTCCCTGATTGGGGGGGTGGTCAGGGGTGGTGGTGGTGGTGATGCCATAAATGGGGTTGATCCCGGGGGTGAATAAAAGTGTTTGACCTGTGGGCAATTTAGAGGTCAGTGGTTTCCCAATTTTCAGTGACAGAACCCTAAAGGAACTGCTCCAGTTGTTCGGTGTCTAGATATCTGCACAGCAAACCCTAACTCTTTGGTAGCAAATTTCCCTTCATCTTTTAAAAGTATGACTACTTACTGCCTTTGTACCCAACTTCCTCCTCTGTGTAGCTTATAGACTTGCCTTCAGTCTCTAAACTGAATCCTGTGCTTTCTCAAAAAATGGGGGCAGGCCTACTAGCTTACCCTTATTTAGAATACTGTGTTTGTAGCCAGTTGTCCAGACTCAGCTTCCCCTCCATTGAAGATGGCATCTTTCTTTTAACAACTTGCTAATTAGCTGCCAGATGATAAATAATTCTGAACAGATGCTCTCATTATGGTACCTACTAGTTTATTGACTGGCAGTTTGATGGCAGAGAGGGGACATGACTTGATTTTCTAAAACTTAGCAAGATTCTTGGTAAAAATGAAGATGGTGCGTAAGGGGGGAGGTCAGTATCATTTGTAAAGCTGGTTGAAATTATTCACCATACAGAGTAGTCTGTGCTGTCTGCCACGCTAAACTGTTTTCTTGTTTCTTTTTAAAATCTTAGCTTAAAGAAATCACCAGGAACGTTCAAAGAAGGTATGAACTATTACTAATTTTCCATGTGTCATGTGGGGCTGTACACGTTTGCACGCGTGTGTTCACTATCAGGCCTGACCCAGGTAAACGCAGGCCAGTTCTCCATCTTTCAAATGAAGAATCGTAGCCAAGTTGGAGCATCCGTAGTAGTGAATTCTAGCACTGCTCCAGTTTTGCTTTTATACCATGCTGATTTGGAAAATGTCGCTTAATTTTAGTCAACTTGCAAAAGAACAAAGAACGTGCGAAAGGAGGAAGTGACTCCAGGAATTCGAAAGTGCAAAACGTCCCGTCTTTCGGGTAAGGAGCCGTCCGTTGTTCCCGCCGGCCCGGTTCGCGTGTATTCCCTTAGCTGTGCAGGTTCCAAGTTGGCACTGAAATCTTTGTGACTGTTAGTGAAGCAGCTTTAGCAAAAATACTTGAGGAGGTAAGCAGATACCGCCCCATTCATTTTGGTGTCCTGTACTGTCTACCAGCCAGAGTAAAAGCTACGTGGCTCGGAGGCTCAAAGACCAAGATCTAAGAGACTCCCGGCAGCAAGCAGCCAAAGCCTTCATACAAAATTCCTTGTATGGCCCAGGAAGCCAAAGAACTTCTGGTAAGTTCCTTGTGGCATGTCGGCTCACTGTTTATTGTAAACTAAGACAGAAACAGGGTAAGTGATGACCTATTCCTTGTCTGGATGCCCCTCCAAAATAACGCTCTTTCCTAGTCAATAAGTTCCTGTCTCTGGCCAACAAGAGGTTGCCTGTGAAGAAAGCTGCCGCTCAGTTCCTGACCACTGGCTGGGGTGAGGCCCTACTTTGTTTTCTTAGCTCTGGTGGTTGGTTTTAAATATGTATCTCTTCGTAGCAACGATGAAAAATACAACTTTCCTCTAGTTCCTAAATGCTTCCACCCCTCCCCACTATCGTGATCCCAGTTCTACCTTGCAAGTCTGGCTAGACCAGAGGATGTACACTGGTATAGATAGGAACTGGAAATATAAGGAATCCAGGGCAGATGAGCCCTTCAGGACCAGTGGTGTGAGTGGCGATACTGGGAGGGTGGAAGGAGAGTGGGTTGGAAAGAGGGAACCGATTACAAGGAACTATATGTGACCTCCTCCCTGCGGGACAGACAACAGAAAAGTGGGTGAA